TATATATATACATATCGTATAGAATTGCATCCAGGCCGCAGAAATTTTACCGCCATATCGAGTACTACCCTTTTAATAATAAACAACTCCCTGAACGAACTCTAGCCATACGTGTACGCGCACGCCACCTGGTGTTCGGATTGGCACCCTCCTGCAGCAGCAGTTGGGCGACGCGGTAATGCGACGACTTGATGGCCAGCCGGAGCGGCTCCTCGGGCTGGTCACGTGACGGAAACAGTTCGGCTGGGTTCGGGTCGGCGAAGCAGACGCGCGCTCCGAACTCCAGCAGGAGGCGCACCATGTCAAAGTAACCTGAGCGAGGCAATGAGGGCAACGCGTTAGTTTACACGCTCACGAGCGCCGCGCGGTTGGTTCTCTTGTGTATGATTTTTTTGCCACGGTCGCTCCCAGTTTGTAACAACCCTAGCGTCTGTAACAACCCTAGCGTTTGTAATGAATTTAGCGTCTGTAACAACCCTAGCGTTTGTAATGAATTTAGCGTCTGTAACAACCCTAGCGTTTGTAATGAATTTAGCGTCTGTAACAACCCTAGCGTTTGTAATGAATTTAGCGTCTGTAACAACCCTAGCGTTTGTAATAAATTTAGCGTCTGTAACAATCCTAGCATTTGTAATGAATTTGGCGTCTGTAACAACCCTAGCGTTTGTAATGAATTTAGCGTCTGTAACAATCCTAGCATTTGTAATGAATTTGGCGTCTGTAACAACCCTAGCGTTTGTAATGAATTTAGCGTCTGTAACAACCCAAGTGTTTGTAATGAATTTGGCGTCTGTAACAACCCTAACGTTTGTAATGAATTTAGCGTATGTAACAACCCTAGCGTTTGTAATAAATTTAGCGTCTCTAACAATCCTAGCGTTTGTAATGAATTTGACGTCTGTAACAACCCAAGCGTTTGTAATGAATTTAGCGCCTGTAACAACCCTAGCGTTTGTAATGAATTTAGTGTCTGTAACAACCCTAGCGTTTGTAATGATATTTAAGTAGCAAATAATTTAGCAATCCTAAAATCTTAAAAGAACTTAGGGTGTGAAAAAACTCGAAAGCCTGGAATGCCCCCACCAGTCGTATTATATACTGCTGGCGACGGCGGCTACCATTAAGATCATCAGATGGATCCGAATAACAAAACATAATCTACGATCACTAGGCCACCGACATTTATCACGTCAATTTTACAAGCGTCAAGCTCGTAAACTTCGCACTCAACGCCCTCCCCCGACGCGTGGCGCCCTCTACGTACTGCGCACCTTTCTCGGCCGCCAGGTGCATGGCCGTGTAGCCGACGTCGTCGGTGGAGTCGACAGCGCCACCTCGCACGAGGAACAGTCGCGCGGCGTCGGCGTAGCGCTCGTAGACAGCGTAGTGTAGCGGGAACAGGCCCTGCCGCACGGGCCGGTCGGAGCGCGCCCCCGTCGCCAGCAAGATGCGCAGGTCGTCCATCGACGCGTGGTCGGCGATGGCGTCCGCCAGCTGGCGCTGCATGTACTGCCGACGCTCTTCGTCCGTCGCCGAGGCCGACGGCGCACGCGCCGGCCGGAGCTCGTATCCGGATAGCTGTAACGAGAGCAGAACCGGATAACTGTAACAATTGTGTAATTTTTTAAACTTTAATGAGAACATAACCGGGTAACTCTAAAGAGAGCAGAGTTAGATACTGTAAGAAAGCATGACCGGATAGTTGTAATGAGAGAGCGGAGTTAGATACTGTAAGAAAGTATCAGCGGATAGTTGTAATGAGAGAGCGGAGTTAGATACTGTAAGAAAGCATGACCGGATAGTTGTAATGAGAGAGGAGTTAGATACTGTAAGAAAGCATGACCGGATAGTTGTAATGAGAGCGGAGCTAGATACTGTAAGAAAGCATGACCGGATAGATGTAATGAGAGAGGAGTTAGATACTGTAAGAAAGCATGACCGGATAGATGTAATGAGAGAGCGGAGTTAGATACTGTAAGAAAGCATGACCGGATAGTTGTAATGAGAGAGGAGTTAGATACTGTAAGAAAGCATGACCGGATAGTTGTAATGAGAG